CCCCTGCTAAGTTCTTTTTTTTTTTTTAATTAGGACTTTTATTATTATTATTATTATTATTATTATTATTATTATTATTATTATTAAAGTATAGTTGATTTACAGTGTTGTGTTAGTGTCTGGTGTACAGCATAGTGATTTAGTTATATATATATTCTTTTCCATTATGGTTTATTATAGGATATTGAATATAGTTCCCTATGCTCTACAGTAGGACCTTGTTTATCTATTTTGTATATAGTACTTTGTATCTGCTAATCCTAAACTCCTCTAATTTATCCTTTCCGCACCCCTTCCCCTTTGGTAACCATCTTTGTTTTCTATATCTGTGAGTCTGTTCCTATTTTGTAAATAAGTTCATTTGTATCATATTAGATTCCACACATAAGGGATATCATATGATACTTGTCTTTGTCTGACTTACTTCACTTAGTATGATAATCTCTGGGTCCATCTATGTTGCTGCAAATGGCATTATTTCATTCTTTTTTATGGCTGACTAGTGTTCCATTGTATGTCTACACCATATCTTCATCCAGTCATCTGTAGATGGACATTTAGGTTGATTCCATATCTTGGCTATTGTAAACAGTGCTGTTATGAACACTGAGGTGCGTGTATCTTTTCAAACTACAGTTTTCTCTGGATATATGCCCAGGAGTGGGACCCACTAAGTTCTTTACATCTATTAACTCATTTCCATAACAGCTCTAGGAGTTGGCACTCTCTCTTCCCTTGTCGAACACTGGATTAGAACGTCATCCTCCCTGGGCTCCCTGGCACAGTTTGGGAGAACCATGATCAAGGCAACCTTAGAAATCCCTGCCACTGCTCATTGCAATGTGTGGGAAGAGCTGCTTGTGAGAAGCAGCTGGGGTTCAAGTCCCAGCCTGCCCTCTGGGTCTTTGTCCTCGTGGATCAAGGTTTGGGGCTTATGTCATTTCCTGTGGCCAACGTCACAAATTACCACAAACTCAGTGGCTTAAGACAGCACACATTTATTCCGTTAGAGTTGTAGAGGTCACAACTCTGAAATCAGCCTCATGGGGCTAAAGTTAAGTTGTCCTTCTGGAGGCTTCAGGGGAGAATCTGTTTCCTTCCTGGCCCTGCTCTTAGAGGCTGCCTGTTTTCCTCAGCTCATGGCCGCTTCCTGCATCCTCAGAGCACATCACCATGGTCTTAGCTTCCAGCATCACACCCCCTTCTCTTCTGTGGTCAGATCTCTCCCTGCCTCTCCCTTTATAAGGACCCTTGGGATTACACTAGGGCCCCCTGGATCGCTCAGGACAGTTCCCACATCTCAGGACCCTGAATTTTATCACACCTGCATAGACCTACCATAGTTCTCTCCACATGTAGTCCCTTAACACACCTGGTGTGTTCCTCCCAGCGGCAGCCGTGAGCTTCTCCCTCTTCCTCAGTTTCAGCTGCTCTAGGCATGGGCTGTTTAGCAGCATTCTTGGCCTTTTTTACCCACTAGATGCCAGTAGCACCCATCCCCTCTCCCAGGCGTGACAACCAGGACTGTCTCCAGACATTGCCAAATGCCCACTGGTGAAGGCAGAACCACCCACAGTTGAGAACCCCGGAGTTAGGCTATTCCAGACCTGCCCTCCGAAGATAGACTGTCAGCTGGTACCTGTCAGGTGGAATCACTGTCCTTTAATGAAGCGCCTTTCAGCTGTGCCCACAACACAGAGTCTGGTCCAGAGACAGGCAGGCCCAACAGAGTCACAGCCTGGGCAGAGACTCAGAGGTGGGAAACCCTGGCCAGAAGCATCAGGATCCTGGCATTGCTGGCGGTGAGCTGGGCCTGGGATCCCCAGGGCCCCCAGCCAGGCTCAGGGAGATGGGAAAGCTCAGCCAGACCATGTGGGCTGGTCTCCCCCTTCGGCCAACGACTCATTGTCCGACCTCATTCAAGTGATGTCATGACCCTGCGCCTCAGTTTCCTCACCTGCAAAGCCAAGATTGTCCTAATCCCGCAACCTCACTGGGTTGCCGTTGGGAGAGTGAAATGAATAGAATGAAGCACCAGAATAGCAAGCACCGGATAAGCGTTTGCTGATGTTATTCTGGTTGTGATGGATCCCAGCGCGACGTTCTTGCTCCAAGTTCAACGTTGCCTGTCTGGCAGTCAGAGGCTGCCTCCCGCCTGCCTGGCCCGTGTTGCAACTTTCCACATAATGTATTAAGCAAGGCTCTTCCAGGTCGCAGCGCCTGGAGCCCTGGGTTTATGACTGGGCAGGCCTTTCCTTGGAGAGCAGTCTCGGTTAATAACCCTTTTTTGCACAGCTGGATGTTAACACAGAGAGAGAGAGAGAGAGCAGGGAGGAAGGAGAAAAATGGAACCTGTTTGAAAATAGGAAGGAACAGGTCTTGAAAGCCGAGAATGCGCTTGATCCTGTGGGAATCACTTAACGGGGACTGCTGCCCATTACTCTGAGGATTCACCCTTCCTGGAGATGATAACTTCGCTCGTTTTGTCCGTCCACAGCTGAGCCCGTCTACACCTTTGCCTGCCAGTCAAGCCCCCAGAAACAAAGATTCTCGCTTAAACTAGTGAGTGTCCCCTGGGGGCAGCGCCGAGGGGAGGGCCTGGGGCTTTAGCAGATGCACCACTGACCTCCAAGTCCTTCTATGGGGAGAGTACAAGGAGTGGAACCTTGGGTGGGGCGTGTCTCCTTCTAGGCTTCAGGTTCTTCTACTTGGGGCCCCTTGCAAGCTGCAGGCAGGTCCACCCCTGAGCCCTGGCTCTGATGCTTTCCAGCCGTGCCATCTGGCCAAGCGCCTCCCCCTCTGAGAGCTGAGTTTCCTCATCTGTGAGATGGAGCCAGTAATAGCCACGTCGTGCAGCCTGCTTCCCCACCACCTGCCTGCCTCGCAGCATGATTTAATGAGCATCTACCATATATCACAGTGAGGGTGTTGGGGTCCTGCACTGAGGAGTCAGTGAAATCACGCATGACCTCAGCATACGTGGGGGTCAGAAGGAGAAAATAAACCGAGGCAGGCAAGTCACGTACTTCAGCACAGACAGGGAGTGCCTGATAAAAGAGCATGGTCCTGGTTAGTAGCCTCATCATCCCTGAGGCTGGAGGTATGGGTGACTTTTATTTTCATCCTTTTATTTCTTTCAATTTTCTCACCACCCAGAAAACCGAGACTGCTTGGTTGGGTGCCCCACCATCGGCTTCAGATGGAGGCTGGGTGAGTGGTTCAGAGCAAGGGCTCCAGGGCCAGGCTCGCAGATGAGTGACAGCACCTGCTTGCCAAGAGCCTGTTCTGTGCCCAACCCTGGGCTCAGAGCTTCATAATCAAACCTGTGGGGCTGTTACTCTGTTCCTCATTTAACAGGTGAGGAAATGAGGATTTGGTCACTTGCCCAGGGGCACCCAGCGTGCAGGTCACTTTGTTCACTGCCGTATCTCCAATGCCCAGAACAATACTAGGCACATAATAGGTGCTTTATAGAAAGAATGAATGAGTGGCAGAGCTGGGGTTTGAATCCATTTCTCTTTAACCCTGTGCTCTTAAGAACCCAGCTATGCTAGTTGTGTTTAATTAAAATATTTGATTTGGCCACTTGGAAAATATGACCCAATATTAATAATGGCTTAAGTGAAAATAATGTTTTATTGCTCTTTCACTTTAAAGTCTGGGGCAGTGGTCCAGGACTGATATGATGGTTCCATAAACAAGGGGCTCACTTCCTTTCTCTCGTTGCTCCAAGATCCTCAAACTATAACCTCCATCTCATGGGCTGAGATGGCTGTTCTGGCTCCCACTGTCTCCTCTGCATTCCAGCCGACTGAAACAGGAGAATAGAAAGGGGCGATCGTGCCCCAGCCTTTTAAGGGCATAACCTGAAAGTTGCCCATAGCTCTTCTGCTCACATCCCCATTAGCCAGACCTTAGTCATGTAGTCCTGCCTTGTTGCAAGGGAGGCTGGGAAGTGTAGTTTTTAGCTAAAGGCCACATGTCTAGGTAGAACTTGTGGATTCTATCATAAAAAAAAGAAAAAAGACCCGAACAATGACTCAAAGTCTCTGATAGGTGTTCACGCACAGCACCCGAGTGAATTTGGTTCTGATGTGCAGGACATGATGGGGAACCTGGGTCGTTGCTGGCATTACCTTGGAGTAATCCATGGCCAGTGATGGCCTAGGGGCCCTGACCTAAGAGGTTCCAGTGTGATAGCCCTTTCCCCTCCCATCCCCACTAGGATGCCAAGGATGGGCGCTTGTTCAATGAACAGAACTTCTTCCAGCGGGCCGCCAAGCCTTTGCAAGGTATTCCTCAGGGAAGTGGGCAAGTAGGGGAAGAGTTGGGGGAACCAGCTTGGTCAGAACAACTGGCTTCTCCCCGAAGGTGCAAGAAGGGTTGGGATTACATTAAAGGCCCAGATTTGCCCCCATCGCCCCCTCAGGCCTCAGGGCAACAGACAATGGGCTGAGGCCGGCTCATACCAGCTCTGGAGAGCCAAGTATTTCAGAAATACCTCAAGTCAGTTGTTAAACAGGCATGTTAAAAATGATCAATTTACAGTCAAATAAATGACATTAAGAACAAGGGTAATAAATACTCAAAACTCACCATTCCCTAAATATTTGCACTTTTTATCTATACTCCCGAGATTGTTTACATTCATTGTATGGTGAAAATACCATATAACTGCCGCATCTCTTCCAAATGCCATCTTCTATAATACTATATTGGTAGCTTGTAATTGGCCATGAGAAGTATTTACACCATGGAAACTGGCCAACACTGGCCTTTTTTTTCCTCAACAGCCAGTGGTTAAGCTTTTATCAGCACACCACTGGATCTGTTCTTCCAACTGAGATTCTGGAAAGTGGGTGGACCTCTAGTGACACCATGACCACGTTAGACATTTCCTGACCTCATTAGCTCTCTGTGGGAACTCAGAAGTTATGCTGTCATTCTTATCCCTTCCACCTACTCCAGATCTGTAAGTGCTTTCTCCTGTGTTCACACACACCTCCCCCCCGTCATCACCGCCCTCACTATCACCTGTGCTCAGAGGTGACGTCTCCAACCAGGAGACTCGGGGTCTGGCCTGGGCTCAGGTGCACTCTGCTTCTGGTCTGAGAATGGGCTTTGTCCAAGGCGGGTATGGGGCCGGGTGGGCTCTAACTAACCTCTCTGGTTCCTGCCTCCCCCAGTGAACAAGTGGAAAAAGCTGTACTCGACCCCGCAGCTGGCTATCCCCACCTGCATCGGTTTTGGCATTCACCAGGACAGGTATAGGTGAGTTGCCTCACTTGCCGTCCACCTCACTGGCCCCTTCCTTCCCCTCCCCGTCATGTGCCCGGGCGTGGCTGGGACCCTGGAGCCACTGGCCAGTTACTCAGCTTCCTTCCTTCCCCCAGCTTTGAGCCAGGCCAATCCCCCACCCATCAGAACCCTACATCTCACCAGGGAATGGGACCACGTAGCCACCAGCCACAGTCCATCCTTGGTGGCTTGTGGTTCATGCCCTCCCCTGGTCATCTCCCCCACCTCCTGGGACACTCGTATCTTCCAGGTTCTTGGTGTTCCCCATCCTGGGGAGGAGCCTTCAGTCGGTCCTGGATGACTGCCCCAAACACGTGATGTCAGTGAGGTCTGTGTTCCAGATGGCCTGCCGGCTGGTATGTATCTAAACGTTGCAGGCTCCCGTCTGGATGATGGCGCTCTGGGTCCTGGCTTATCAGTTGGTTTGTTCATCACACACTCTACCCGCATCTCCCGTGGCTGGGCACTGGGGGCTCATACACTGACCAACACAGCCGAACACTAGGCCATTAGAACCAGAGTGATATAAGTATTGCCACAAGGGGTGTTGAGGAGACCATGGGAGTTGGAGGAAGGGGCCCACCTGAAATTGAGGGGTTCAGTAGAGCTTCCTGGTGGAGGTTGTTTCTAAGCCAAGAACAGGAAATAGCACTGTAGTGGGTAGAGCAGGAGTGGGGACACAGGGGGAGACTATTCCAGGCCAAGGATAATAGCTTGGGCATAGGCTTGTGTGGAGGAGAGAGCAGAAGACATTTGTTCGTTCGTTCGTTCCCTCATCCATCCTCTTATTAAGTATTTATCAGGTCCCTGGTGGGTGTCAGACACTGTCCCCGGGACTGGGAGTTCAGTGGGCGCAGCACAGACATGATTTTGTATCTAGTAGGAAAGGATGATATTAAGTCACAGTTGCGCAAATTGTGAAAAGTGCCCTGAACAGGAATGTCCCCTGCTGTGATAGAGAATAAGAGGACTCCGTGTAAAAAGCTGGAGGGATGGAAGTGACAAGGGAGTGACATATTAGGCGAATCCCAAAGGTCGTTATGTTCAGAGTGCAGTGTGACATGTGGAGGGGAGGGGCGAGAGATGAGGTTGGAGTGGAGAGGTCATTCATGACCAGATCATGCGAGGCCTTGAAGACCCAGCTGAGTGGCTGGGACTCTGCCTGAAGGCACTGGGGAGCCATGCAAGGATTAGAAGAAGGAGAGGGGCAAGGTCAGCTCTGGGTGCAGAAGGACCCTATGGGCCATGTTGGAACAGCGTGGAGGGAGTGAGGTGGAAGCTGGGTGAGGTCGGTGTGAGAGGACGAGGCCTGATTAGGAGCTGGACTGTGGGGACAGAGATTTTGTAGAACAAGCAGAACTTGGTGGACCGGTAAGCCCTGGAGTCAAGGAGCTCTCGGAGGTGTAATTAGGACGTAGTAATGAGGACGTAACTAACCCCTGGGCAGTTCAGTACATGGGTCTGGAGCTCAGTAGTAAAGTAAGAGCTAGAGATAAAAAATATAAATTGCTTAAATGGCTTAACTATATTTCTGCTCCCTAGGACAAATGAGAAAACCCCTTTGAAGTACATGAGTGTGGGTTTATTTTTTGCAGCGGGGCAATAAGTAACTAGCTTCGTCCCCTCACAAGTTTGCAATCAGCTAAGAAATAGATACGAGAGATCAATGGAAAACCAAATACCAGCTTTAATGGTGAATTTTTTAAAAGTCTAATTAGAAGACCTGCTTAGGTGTACTGTCAGAGTGGGTGTCCAAGTGCTTCACTCAGAATTAGGCTTAAACCAAGCCCCCAACCCCTATTGCAAGCAGCACCATGTGACCCCAGGCCTAACAGTGGGGGTTCCTTTGCCAGGCTTCCCATTAGAACCTCTTTGTGTTGGTCCTACTGCTCATGGAGATGCTTTCTTTCTTCCCCCAGCTGGATGCCCTGGAGTTCCTCCATGAGAATGAGTATGTTCACGGAAATGTGACAGCTGAGAATATCTTTGTGAATCCAGAGGACCAGTGCCAGGTAATAGCCAGTTCCTCCCCCTCCCCAGGGACTCTCTGGGCCCAGGCTCTCCCCTGTCTCAAAACCTCCATTTATGTCACAATGCTTGTTGCAGACAAAGAATTGCTATCCATCATGTATAAAGAGCTTCTTGGAATAAATAAGAAAAGATAAGCAACTTAGTAGAAAAGTAGACAAGGAATAGGAAAAGCAGTTCATAGAAAAAATAAAGCCACAGTTTAGTTAAATGTATGAAAAGATACTCAACCTCCCTGATAATCATAGAAACTAAACTAAAAATATACTATTTTTACCCTTTAAGTAGAGAAAATTAAAAAGAATGATATCTATTACCTATAAGGATGTAAGGGAATAGAAATTCTTTATATACTGTTGGAAGTGTGCATTGGGTAACCTTTTTGGAAGGTGAGTTGGATAGAACAGTCAACATTTTAAGTGCATTTATTTTGATACACCAGTTCCTCTTCTAGGAATGTATCCATTCCATATATTCAAGGATAATATGTACAAAATGTTCCTGACAACATTGATTATAACAGTAAAATGGGAAAACCTTAAATATATACTCCCAGTAGGGCACATTAGTATTTTAAAGTAAATTCTAATTACTCCTAGTGACAGAAACCCAATTTAACATGCCTTAAGCAAAAGAAAAAAAAAAGAGAAGAAGTTTGTAAAGGGGTAAGTGCAATTTATTGCTTCATGGAGTGAAAAATCCATGACTTCATTGGCTCCAGGCATGGCTGAATCTAGGAATTCTGGCCCTATCATTGGGAAACTGATTCTTCCATGTCTGGGCTCTCCTTGTGTTTGCATTGCTCATTATCATACAGACATTCTTCCCTCATGGTCACAAAATAAGACCAGCAAATCAGGCTCAAATCCCTTCATCTTAGCAACCTCAGTAGAAATAGATCAGGTGAGCCCCTCCTCAATCACATGGATTAAGAGTTGGAGAGGAGTGATCCCAGAGAAAACTCCTGGAACCATATTAGGCAGAGCTCTCCAGAGAAACAGAACCTACAGAAAGTGTATGTGTGTGTGTGCGTGTGCATGTGTGTGTGTACAGAAAGGTGGGGGAGACAGAGATTTATTATAAGAAGTTGGCTCACACAATAGTGGAAGCTGAGAGTCCCTAGATCTGCATTTGGCAAGCTGGAGACCCTGGAGAGCTGATAGCATGGTTCTAGTCAGAGTCCAAAAGCCTGAAAGCCAGGAGAGTTAATTGTGTAAGTGCTGGTCTGAAAGCTGGCAGGCTCAGACCCGAGAAGGTCCAGTGTTTCAGTTCAAATCCAAAGGCAGGAAAAGACTGATGTTGAGCTCAAACAGTCAGGCAAGAGGCATTCCCTCTCACGCAGCCTTTTTGTTCTATTCAGGTCTTCAACTGATTGGATGAGGCCTACCCACACTAGAGAGGGCAGTCTGCTTTACGCAGTCTACTGATTCAAATGTTCATCCCCTTTAGACATACCCTCATCAACACACCCTGAATAACCTTTGGCCAAATGTCTGGACACCCTGTTGCCTAGTCAGGTTGACACATAAAATTAACCATCACAAATTGTGACCGGAAGGAAAAGATGTAGGTCTCACATGGACAAAGCCAGCAGTTGTCCACACTCTTTGTGGCAGAATAAGATGCAGCCATTAAAAAGCAGATGTGGCTAGCTTTGTGTGTCTGGCAGATTAGCACTTTGCTTTTTGTTTTAAACTCAGTTAAGCTGCCTAACAACCTTGCAAAGTGGGGACTATCATTATCATCATTTTACAAATGGAGAAATCAAAGCATAAAGAAGTTTAATAATTTGTCCAAGGTGATGCAGCCACTAAAGGGCCATGCCGGCATTTGAGCCTGGTCTATCTGGCTCCAGAGTTAATGCCCTGAACCACTATTAAAGTCCAGAAAGCTGTGTGCCCAACGGGAGGTAGAGTGTGATCCCCCTGGGGACAACTAGAGCCTGCTCCCTGTCCACGTGTGTTTACTGATTATTTAAAGAAAATGATTTGAAACAACACCTAAGAAACTACTATTAGTGGTTACTTCTGGGTAGTAGGTTTAGGGGGGTGGGCAAAGATGGGGATGATTGGTTTGGGTTCTTTTCATACCTTTCTGTACTGTTTGGCATTTGATTGTTCGAAATTGCACCCACAGTTGAAATCTCTGACCCCGGAGTCCAAGCTCCTAACTTTCAAACTGTACGGCTTCTACCACATCCACACAGGTGACCCTGGCAGGCTACGGCTTCACCTTCCGCTATTCCCCAGGCGGCAGACACGTGGCCTACTCTGAAGGCAGCAGGAGCCCACACGAGGGGGACCTTGAGTTCATTAGCATGGACCTGCACAAGGGTTGCGGTAAGAGGCCAGAGAAGAGGTTCGGGACCATAGAGAAATAATTCTAAGACAAGGGCAACTCTAGTTTTCACAGCCACGTCATGCTAAGAGGGTTCAGTACCATGGATAGCACCCTACTCGTTGGGACAGCTGTTCAGCACCAAGGACAGTGGGCAGTTGACTACAAGGAAGACCTACAGAACTAGAGATTCGCATTTAGGATCTTTGTAGATTTGGAACATGAAAGTTACCCAAGAGCCATCCAGGAGAGGCTGTGCAGTAAGCAATTGGCAATCCATGTCTGCAGCACACAAGTGAGGTCTGAATGGAGACTCAAATACTGATAATATCTCAGGAGGTGTCAGCTGAAGCTGGGGGATAGGAATGAGATCATCCAAGGAAAGTGTGTGGAAAGAGAACAGCGCACTTTGAGGAGAAGATCCTTGAAGGGGATCTCAGCTTCTCTTTCCCAAACACATTGATGATACAGTCATCCATGTGCCTGCCTGCATCCTCCCACCACACTAAGCTCCCCCAGGAAAGGGATGGTGCCTGTGCCTCCAGCAGCAGGTGGCAGAAGGTCTGGCACAGTGAATTCTCAGTGTTTGTTGAGTGTTTACACAAGTATTGTCTAAATCATGTGATTTGGGAAGCATAAGAAAAATAAACCCCCATGATCTCCTTTGCCCTCCCCTGCTGAGTGAGGCTGGGTTCAGTGCCCATCCTTCTGGGCTCCCTCATGCCCTGTTCTGTCTCCTCTGTAAAAGCTGATCCTACACTATAACTGTGTCTGCAGTGGATTGTCAAGGGCTGTGACCCAAATAAACTCTTGTCTGGGATTTAAGAATGTGGGATGGGGCCTGGCACACAGGGCTCTGAGGATTCGTTGAACAATGGGTGCATGAATGAAAAACAAATAGTTGAGGGAGTGAGCTAGTGAAAGCTGGGATGAAGGGATGGCCAAGGGATTGAATGAGTAATTGAGAGATTCATGAGAGAGTGAAAGTAGGCAAGTGAAAAGTGAATGAACACATGAGAGCCTGTATGTTTGGGTGGTTGAGTGTGTGAGCACATGGCTGAATCAGTGAGAGAGAGAAAGGAAGAGGGTGGGCATGTCAGTGAGTGGAGCATCTGGACTGAGCCCCTACTACCTTTCCCCCCTCCCCAGGGCCCTCCCGCCGCAGTGACCTCCAGACCTTGGGCTACTGTTTGCTGAAGTGGCTCTATGGGGCCCTGCCATGGACAAGCTGCCTTCCCAACACTGAGGATATCATGAAGCTGAAGCAGAAGTGAGTCTAGGGGTCAACAGAGCCCAGCACTAACCTGGCACCCATGCAGAGGGACAGAAGCTCAGAACCCAATAGGGAACAGAAAGGAGGGGGAGGTAGCATCTGGCAGAGCCAAGGCCTCTGCAGTTCTCTGGCATGTGCTCTACCATCCATTCCAGCAGACAAGAGCATGGGCTCTGGAGCCACACTGCCTAGGGTCAGACTCCAGCCCCACCGCTGCAAGGTGTTGGGAGGGCAGCTTAAATTCCACAAACTTCAGCATTCCCTATGAGATGGGATCCTATTAGCACCCACCTCAGGGGGCTGTGGAAGAATTTGGGGAATTCAGGTACACAGCATTCAACACAGAGCCTGGAAAGTAGAAAATGCTCACTGATGTGCAGGACCCCATGATTCATTCATTCCTATATGGACACACAGGCAACAATCAGTTACGCCTGGGCCCTGCCTCAACATCTAGCAACATTGGCCTCCGGTGTCCACACTTCTCCCTCACTTCTGCGTGTAAAACCACCAGATGCTGCTATTTCCGGTTAAGACGTTTAGCACAAAGGACAGCAGTGGTGGAAATGGAAAGGCCGGTTGTGCGGTTCAGCACTGCGGACAGAGGGCGTTTGAATGCAAGGGGAGGTGCTCCTGGGTATGTGCTTCAGCACCAAGGACAGAGGATACGTGGGCTCAGAGGGAAGTGAGCACGGGAAGGGGGTGCGCGCCTTGGCCTCCAGCACAAAGGACAGTGAACAGCTGGACGCAGGGAAGCCCTGCAGGTCCAGAGGTTGGGATTCAGAATCTGGTATAAGCTTGGGGCATGAGAGTTGCCCCAGAGGAGCCATACAGGAAGGGCCACCCAGGAGATGGTTGGCTATCCCATTTGAAGTGCAAGAATGAAGTCTAAATGGAAACTCAGACCTCAGGCCATGTATTGTCAGCAGAAGCCCTGGGAAACGATGAGAGATTTACTGGGGAAGTTATGCAGAATGGGAAAAAGGAACTCCAGTGAACAGCACTGAGTCCCTCATACTTCTCAGTGTAGCATGCGGTGTTCCTGGTTCTTGTTGAACCTCTCTCTCATTTTATTTTGCCCTTTTTATATCTCCTCTTTCTTCTCTCAACCAAAGATACCCACTCAAACATACTGAATATATGTTCTACTGATATGCTAGCTTAAATGTATTTGTATCCTTAAACTTGCATGATGGTGGTGGCACTGTGTGTTTGACTTGCAAAAATGGTATTCTGCTCTAAATCTCACCTGTTTCTGGCTTTTTTCACTCAACACTACGTTTTTCAAGTTTAACCCCATCATTACACATGCATCGAGTTTACTGCTTCTGACTACTATTTTAAAGAAGTTTGTATAGATCACGTCTGTGTCCTTAAACAATACATGATGTGTGTATTTAATCTGCATAAATGGTACTGTGCTCTGAGTATCATTCTGTTTCTTGCTTTCTTTCGCTCAATGCTATATTTTTAAACTTCAGCTACATTACCAGTTCACTGCCTCTCAATACTTCTTCTCAGTTTGTATGTTTAGATGTAGATGTGTCCTTGAAAAATATGTTCTGTTTGATTATGCCAATCAGACACATACCCACATAAATGGTGTCATGCCCCGATTCTCATCCTTGTTCAGATTTCAGCTTAGTTGTCACTTCCCAGGGAGCCCTTCCCTTGCCCCCACTGGATCAGGTCTCTGCTTGTTCATGCTCAAAGGAAGGGACGCCTGTCACTGGGAGGAGACACACGGGCAGGAAGCAGGCACTGCATGTGAGCGTGGTGGCAGCCCCCAGGACATTGTAGGAAGCAGAGAGGAGGCACGTGACCTGGCCTCAGGCCACTGGGAGCCTTTCCCTAAGAGACGCCTGACCCGGTCTATAAAGAGCAGAAGAGTTTCCCAGGCAGGCAAATGGAAGTCAAGATTTCTAGGCATTCAGGATAGCATATATGTGAACTCTCCATTTGTTCGTTCATTCATTCATTCATTCAGAACCTGTTTCCTGAGACTCCAGTGGGTCGAATCTCCCTTCCCCCAATTTCCTCTAACTCCTAAGAACAGTTGTGTTTCCCTTTTCGCTTCTCTCCCACCTTCCCCTTCATAGGAGTTAATGAAACGTGACTGTGACATGCTTCAGTAAGAGAGACTGCAGTTGCTGAGTCGGTGCAGTGAATCAGATAGGTCCTAGTAATCAGTTTCATATCGATGATTTTGGCATGAGTAACAGTTCATCTCGGAGTTCCAGATTCCAACATAACCACAGAAGGAGAGCCAGGAACCTGAATATGCTCCACTGGGAGATGGTGGTGGTGATGTCGGGGTCATTTTAGAGCCCCCAGCCCAGCCTGTTGCGTGACTTGAGGCAGTAACCAAAGAGCCCACAAGGGGGCGGTGTTGCCACATGCACATTTTCTGGACCCCTACCTTGTCCTCTAGGGCGCCTTACTGGTGTGCGTGGTCTTCTTCCATTCATTCCGCAGGTATCTATTCATTTTCATGTACGTCTTAGTTAATGATGGAATGAATGAATTAAAGAGAAGAGGCAGTTCGATTCCCCAAGGCTTTCTGGTGTGCAAGGCCCCCAGGTAGGAAAAGCACAGACTCCGGTAGAGTTGGTCCTCGCTTTTAAGACTGCGGCTGGGCAGGGAGGTCCCTCAAACACCAACAGCAACAGCCTGTGGCAGGAGAATCACTCACTCAGTTTACAACATCCGGAGGCTGGCACAACCCTTTTGTGCCATCACTCGTTGGCTCAGTCATTCACCACACACATCCGAGGCTGCAAGGGAGAGAAAAGGGTCAGGCGCTGCCCTTCCTGTACACATACGACAGTTCCTGTCGGGCCTCCGTGGACCTATGCACAGAATGCGCAGACACTAGGGAGAGATCTATTTTCTCTGCTTAGAGGGATCCGGGGAAGCTTCCCGGAGATCAACCCTCAAGCCATATCCAGAAGGGAGAGCAGCCATTTACTGGGAGTCAAGGTGGGGAAAGGCCATCCAGGGCAGAAGGAGCGGGCCAGGAGGTGTGGGTGGATGCATGACCTCATTGAGAGACGAAGGAGTTTGGTCTGGCTAGAGGGTGAAATGGGAGGGAGGAAGTCAGGGAGACAAGGCCACAGGGGCTGGTGGCCTCGGTGCCAGAGGTTTTCCCACAGGGCACTGGGGAGCCCAGGAGCAGAGAAGGGTGTGGTCCACTCGGGCCAAAGGAAGACTCTCTGGGGCCATATGGGGGATCCACAGGAAGCTTGGGAGAAGCTTGGGTCCAAAGAGAGAGAATGAAGCCTGAACTGGTCCCCCAGCCATGGACGGAGGGAGTGGTGGGGCAGAAGGGTTGGGGAGCAAGATGGACTTGGGGACTTCTATACTGGTGGGGTGGAGGAGGGGAGGACAGCACCCAGCAACTGGTTGGACAGTGGGGAGCCAGCCAAGTGGTCCAGGCCAAAGATACAGAGGACTGGGACTCTGAGGATGGAGCAAAGGAAATGGAAGAATTTTATTTTTGTCAAGTGGTACAAGAAGCGTGTGTGTGTATATTTATACATGTGTGTGTATGGATAGATAAAGATAATTGATCCTCATTATTCACAGGTTCTGTATTTGTGAATTCGCCTCTCCCTAAAATGTATTTGCAGCCCCACAGTCAGCACTCACAGTACTTTGGAGGTCATTTTCAGACATGCCCTAAGAAGAGTGCTGAAGTGTTAACATTCCTCAGCGCAGGAAGGAAATCCGTGGGTGAGATGAACTTCTAGCCGGCATGAGTGAAAGAGCTGTTGGCCCTGAGATCCATGTGAATGAATCAACATCATATTAAATAGGAAATCTTTAAACACAAACACATGTAAAACCAGGTGGTGTATTGATCCGTTGATGAAAATGTTGCGACTGGAAGCTAGCAGGTATCTGATACTGCGTTCCCCCTAAATGCCTGGTTCAGAATTCACTCATTCAGTGTTCAAGGTGACCCTACAGAGCATAACTACCTCAAATAACAGGCACTAGGGCACGTCCACCAGGCATCCTGTTTCAAAAGGTTGCTCTCCCCTGAAAGACTTTTCTTGTGTACCTCTGTCCTGTCAGGTTTCTTTTTTTTTTATTTGAAGTATAGTCAGTTTACAATGTTATGTTAATTTCTGGTGTACAACAAAGTGATTCAGTTACACATATATGTATACGTGCTTTTTTTTAACAGGTGTGCAAAAATTTTTGTTTATTTATATTAAATGTGACCGGAGTCAGTGAATGCATGTTCTTTTTCATTATAGATTATTATAAGATATTAAATGTAGTTCCCTGTGCTATTCAGTAGGGCCTTGTTATTTATCTATTTTGTATTTAGTAGTTTGTATCTGCTAATCCCAAACTCCTAATTTATCCCTCCCCCCACTTTCCTCTTTGGGAACCATAAGTTTGTTTTCTATGTCTGTGAGTCTGTTTGCTTTGTAAATAAGTTCATTTGTATCATATTAGATTCCACATATAAGTGATGTCATATGATTTTTGTCTTTCTCTGCCTGACTTACTTCACTTAGTATGCTAATCTCTAGGTCCATCCATGTTGCTGCAATTGGCATTATTTCGTTCTTTTTGATGGCTAAGTAATATTAATATTCCATTGTACGTATATACCACAGCTTCTTTATCTGGTCATCTGTGGATGGACATTTAGGTTGTTTCCATGTCTTGGTTATTGTAAATAGTGCTGCTGTGAACATTGGGGTGCCTGTATCTTTTTTAATTGAAGTCCCCTCCAGATACATGCCCAGGAGTGGGATTGCTGGATTATAGGATAACTCTTTTTTTAGTTTTTTAAGGAACCTCCATACTGTTCTCCATGATGGTGGCACCAAATTACATCCCCACCAGCAGTGTAAGATGGTCCCCTTTTCTCTACACCTTCTCCAGCATTTATTGTTTGTTGTCCCATCAGGTTTCTTGACAACCCGGAGGGCCTCGTGGGACAGTGCAGTCGCTGGATCAGTCCCTCAGGTATGTCTGAGGCAGGGAGAGCACGTGGGGACCGTGGAGGGACCAGGGGACTCAGGTCCCTCCCAGGGGTGCCTCTCTTTATACCCCTCTGTTGTCCTTCTTTGAGTTTTCTAAATTGCAAGTGTATATGTGCTCCTTGTAGAAAAACAAAAATCTTCCCCCCAAATTCAGAAAGGTCTCTGAACAATAGTAACAGCATCACACACGTGTGTGTTTTTAACAGAATCATATTATGTATTATATTAGTCTCTGACTTGCTTTTTTTCCATTTAAGTAGAGTATATCTTAGAGATTTCCTGTGTTGGTACTTGTAGAATTTTTTTTAATGGTGGTTAAAATACACTTAGTGTCACTTAAAACTGCAGTTGTGACTCTTTAGACAGTCGTGAAATCAACCTAATGGGTCAAAAACAGGATTTTTAAAAATTAAAAACAGACAAAAAATACAAATGCATTGCAGAAGTTAGGGTAATGTAATGCTTTATGAGACATTAGTTTCAGTGATACATATTTATGTGGGTAATGGGCTTATACGATGTATTTCTGTTTTTAAATGTTTGAAAAACAGTGGTCTACGTTTGGGGGCAATAATTCATTATATGAATATACCACAATTTATTCCACCAATTCTTCACTGATAAACATTTAGATTGTCTCCAACTTTCTGATATTATAAACTCTTTACTTTTTTTTCTTTATCAGATTTTTGTTTTAAAACCAACATAATATTGGCCTATAAAATAATTTAGATACAGAAAGTGAGTATAGCTCAGTGATAGAGCTGCATGCTTAGCATGCTCGAGGTCCTGGATTCAACCCCCAGTACCTTCACTGAAAAAAAAGAAAATTCAGATACAAATTACTACATACAAAATAGATAAACAATAAGATCCTTACTGAATAAGCATAGGAAGCTACATTCAGTATCTTGTAATAAGCTATAATGAAAAAGAACACACACACACACAAACACACATACATATATGTAACTGAATCACTATGCTGTGCACCAGAAACTAACACAACATTGTAAATTGACTGTACTTCAATAAAAAAAAAAATAACTCCAACCAAACTGAAATGTGTAACATAAGAAGTTCCTGTCCCTCCCCACCCCCTTCCCAGTCATACTTTCAAAATAATCTCTGTTAATATCAGTAGTATGGTGAGTATACACGCAGCTTGGTCAACATCTTGCTTTTTTCATTAATTAACGTTGGGGCTGCTGTTCTGCGTGGTCACCCATAGATCTGTCCCAGCCTTTTTTTTTTAAGTTTACAGATACGTTTCTCATTTAATTTTTATTGTGGGGAAATAAACATAATGTAAAATTTACAGTTTAAACCATTTTAAAATGGCCAATTCCATGGCCCATGGCATTAAGTACATTCACAGTGTAGCACCACCATCGCCTCTTTCTAGTTCCAGAATTTATCACCCCTAAAGTTTTTTTTAATAATTTTTTTGGGGGTAGGTAATGAGGTTTATTTCATTTCTTTTAATGGAGGCACTGGGGAATGAACCCAGGACTTCGTGCATGCTAAGCACGTGCTCTACCACTGAGCTGTATCCTACCCCCCTCCCCAAAAGAGTTTTGATGAAACAAGATTGATGTTCATGCTACCATTCTCCTGTTGCAAATGTTTAATGTTTTCAAAAACAAATTTTTTTTTTCAAATCTAAGTGGCTGTGGCAGTGCCAGGCACAGAGGACACACTGAGCACATGGGCACCGCTGTTGAGAGCCTCTGGGTACGGCCCCCCAGGCTCTGGGTCCAGGGCCCCTCTCAGGCCTCTCCCATCTCTTGCCCACAGAGACCCTGCAGGAGTACCTGAAGGTGGTGATGGCCCTCAGGTACGAGGAGAAGCCGCCCTACACCGTGCTGAGGAACAGTCTGGAAGCCCTGCTGCAGGATCTGCGGGTGTCAGCCTACGACCCCCTGGACCTCCAGATGGTCCCATAGGTGGGTTCCGGTGGGGAGAGTTGGTGAGTCTTAACCCTTCCCCCTGGCTCCCCACACTCTGCCATTTAAGGTTTACACCCCAGGGGCCAGTTTCCCAGTGAGGTGCTGGGTTTTTCCACAGGGTTCTTAAACCTTCCAGCCCCCAGGAATCACAGATAGCAGGAACTGAACTCAAATTGACTTTAAGGAAAAGGGGGAATGATTTGCTATTGTTGCTAGAAAACCCAGGGTGGGAAGCTTCAGGCATGACCGGATCCAGGGCCTGGGGGTTAGCAGCAAGATGTTGTATGTCTCTCCCCATCTTTGTCCTGTTTTTCACCCCTCCATCTCCCTCCGCATCCACCCGCAGTCTCTCCCCTTTCCCCTCACGTGCAAAAGCGCGCTGCCTCTGTGCCCTCTGCCTCACCTCATTTTCACTGCACGGTTTACGTTGCAACTCTTCCATTGCGGGGATAAAGGATGCTCTTTATAACCAGTGGCTAGACATGTGCTTGGCGTCCCGGATTTTGGTCGTGCAAACAATGTGGCCTTGAACCCCCGGCTGCACAGGCCTCACCCTGGTGTGCACGTGGGTCCGCAGATGGAGTTCGTACTTTGAGAAGGATCCCCAGATTGCTCTCCATCGGGGCTGTACGCACTTACCATCCCCTTGGCACTGAGTGAGTGCATATGGAAATTTTCAGAAGGTCAAAACTAAACTAAATTCACTTTACGGCAGATTTTGGTGAGCTGCACAGATGTGTTCCAAAGGAAAGGTAACCCCAAGGCTCTCGCCTGTATGTGGGATTATAATTTCTCTCATTCTGGCTGGCTGGATTCAAAGCACAGCATCTGCCCAGCTCAGGGGCTCTCAGATGGAGGCGATGTTCCCCCAGGGACCGTGTGGCTTTGTCTGGGGACACTGGGTTGTCACGCCTGGGGAGAGGTGCTTCTGGCGTCTCGTGGGTTGAAGCCAGGGATGTTAACATCCTACAAGGCACAGGGCGCCCCCCTGTCAGCAGGGCCGCAGCTGAGGAAGCCACCCCACATGCCTCTTGGCAGGGTGGCAGTGGTCCTCTTCCTTTGGGCACCTTGGTTACAGGCACTTCCTCAGTCCTGAAACCTCTACTCACATCCCAGCCCTGAAAATCTGTGTGTACGGCTCTTCACATGGTGCCTGGGCACAGAGTGCTTCAAAAATCCAAGGTTGTTCATTTGTTTGTTTGCTCAGTAAGCTAGTATGCGCCCTGTGTTAACCACAGACACTCTCTGAAAGTAAAGGCGTGACTTCCTTCACCTGGCTTGTCCCCCTCCCAGTCTCCGTGCCCCCAGCTGTCTGAGAGACCTCCGGCTCCTCCCACACCCCTCTCTCCGCATCCCATCCCTGCAGGCAGTTGTAAGTCCCTTCGGGACCATTTCCTCCAGGGCTCTGCCTCCACCCTCTGCCCAGAGGCCCCAGAGTGTGGTTGCTGGTCATAATCACCGGCTGGCCGTGAGCTCTGGGATGGCCAGGTCACCTCTGTCTCTGCAACTCTGTGTTTCCTGCAAGTGGCCTGGCTCCCGGACACTCCACCCGTATCTGCCGAGTGGGCGAGTCCACTTCTCCCATGGGTGCTATTCTGTCTGACAGTATCTCCTCGCCCACCCAGTCCTATTGGAAATTTAAAAACTTGAAACCAAACAGCCCCTTTCAGTATCATTGTAGTTTCCAATCTGCTCGCCCTCTAGGAACCACTTTACTCAGCGACAAGTTCTTCCCTTGGTTAGGAACTTAATGCGGAGATGCTGCTTAAGAAGCCTGGGGACCTGAGGATCATCTTGCCTCTGCCTGTGGCAGCTCCTTGCCCTTGGCCCAAGCCCGACCTCCCCTCAGAGGTCAGGCCAAGCTCCATCCCACCCCAGGACCTTTGTCCTTGCCATTCCCACGGTCTGGGACAATTTTCCTCTTCATGTTTGCTGGCTCCCACGCATCACCGCCTTCTCAGATAGGCTCCCCTCCCCATGACATCTCCTGTTTTCTCATGATCCTTGTCTCCTTCTGGAGGGAGATGTGTGTTTAATCTGTAGTGTCTCCACCCCTCTCCTCCAGATTGTATGCCCAGCAAAGGTTTCTGGTTCTTCATGTTCATGGTGGTATCTCTAGTCCCTGGTGACTAGAAAGCTCTTATCACCCAGTAGGGGGTTAAAGGCATGCCTCGAATGAATGACACTAACAGTGATCTTTATTGTTTTCCAGAACTTTCAGCCTGCAGTTTGAAATAGAAAAAGAAAAAAAAAAGGAGACATGTGACTCAAGGCCTGCTGTAGAATCACAGATAAGATTCTAGAAAGATCCCTCGAATTTGCATTCCTACCACTTCTTTAGGTGACACTACTCATCTGTCTCAATCAGTCTCAGGGAACCCAGCAGTTAGGCTTCGGATAATGTGAACTCCCTCCTTTCAACACGCCCACCCTTCAGCTGCTGTCTGCTGTCAGCCACTGGGGTTTTGGACCGAGAAGACCCTCAGTTCACAATCAGGGGGGTGGGCTGGCCCCCTCAGTGAGGACCGTGCCGTTGACATCCCTGTGCTTTGACAATAAACTGTTTCGTTGGAGCTTGGAGGGTCGAGTGTCTGCAAAAGAAGTTCCTTTTGGAAAAATTTAGCTCTTCTTTTCCCTATCCATTCATCCATCCATCCATCCCTTCAACCTTTCATCCACCCATCCACTCTTTCATTCATGTAGTCACACTTTCAGGCAGACACTCATCCATCCATTCTTCCACTTCTTCATCCATCCATCCATCCACCCTCTCATCTGTCCCTCTACCCATTCACCCCTCCCTCCATCCGTCCATGTACTTGTCCATCCATCCCTCCACCCATTCATCCTTTCCTCCGTCCGTTCATTTACCACTCATTCTCCCACCCACTAACACTTCCTCTCTTCCATACATTTATCCTTCCTTTTATTCAACAAATAGCAGGCATTTCTGGAGTGCGTGCCCTATGACACTTATGGTGCTGCACAGAGGATCCTGGCAAACCAATCATACATAGCAAGGTCCTTGACCTTTTTGAGCCCACAGTCAAGTGGAAGGAGACAGTATTAAAGGAGACGACTTGGGATCATGACCAGCACTCTGAAGAAAAAGCACAAACTGTGATGGAGAGTGAGGGGCCTCAGGACGGGAGGGCGCCTTTGGGGAGAGCCCAGACACAGACAGACCAGGGAGGAGGCCGTAGGATGGTAGCTGGAGAAAGGCAGGGCCTCAGGAGAGATTTCAAAGGCAGGCTGGCCAGCAGCAGGTGACAAGTAACTAGGCTGGGAGGGATTAAGAAGGAGGAGAAGATAAACACACCTCCTCGAGTTTGACCTTGGATATCTTCAATCATCTATCATACTTTGGGATGGGTAACCAGAAGCCGGATAGGGGTAGAAACTGCTCTGAGATGCCCTGATTCTCTCCTTGCTCTGGGGATGGAAGGAGATTAGCAGACTGATGATCATTTCCTGGATGGAAAGGAGTATTTCCAGAAGGAGATATTCCTTAAGAAGAGAGAAAACCCATCAGAAAATCTGTGTACAGCCCCTCTGTGTTCACGAGTCCACAAAAGAAGAGGGACGTCAGCCGCCCTGCAGACCCCCAATCAAGCAAGAGGGATGGTCACAGTCAACGCCTGCACCTCCCGAACGCTCGTCCCCCAGTCTCTGAAGGAGGAGGGTGCTGTCACTGGCACCAGACGAGACTCACAGGGCCCAGGGGAGTGGGAGTGACTCCCAGACCACCATGCAGCTGACGGTGGCTGGACCCCATCCTCTATTCCATTCCCCCCCATCTCTGTTCCCAGCGTTAATCAGATGCTTGTGGTGCTGATGCTGTAGGTGGGTTTTGGGGGGGTTTTATCATTTTTATTGCAGGGCACCACAGAACCTTCAGGAAACTCAAGTGTGAGACACGTCTCCAAGAGGAGCCCCTGCAGGCAGCTGGAAAGGACAAATCATTTCCCTTCACCTGTGAAATAGTTTTCCTGTGAAAAAGACTGGCTTCTAAGGCTATTCATTGCAAGTAAAATCCATTCCTCAGACCTCAGACACAGCAGCAAATGTTTGTAGACTTTCTTACTGATGATAAAAAACAAAATTCAACTCGGTACATTTTTTTTTAATTCTCTGTAGGGTTTTTTTGAGGGGGTAGGGGTAATTAGATTTGTTTGTTTATTTTTTTAATGGAGGTACTGGAGACTGAGCCCCGGACCTTGTGCGTGATACCACTGAGCTACGCCCTCCCCACAGCTGAGTATATTTTAAAGATCTTACTGGCAGCATCCTGTCGAGCAGGTAGAAAGATCTGAAGATCTATACAAAATGAAAGACTTAGAGGCAGAAGGGAGCAGGAGTAAGAAAGTTCTAGTAGGCAAAAAAGCAGGTTGGTTATTGCAAAGTTGCTTTCCCTTAGGGGATGGCGGGGGTCTGGCAGGCAGATGACTTAACTAGTTCTGATCAGGCGACTCCTGATCGAAGTGTTTCAGATGTCTTTTCTGGGAGAGCCAAAACTGTCATGAAGTCTTAGTTTGGTGATGGTGGGACTTGGCATAAACGACTCCATGTTGGGCCTGTGGTCTTATTTTTAATACTGAGTTGGAAGTTAACGGGACAAGCAATTTTGCTGCCTTGATGGGGAGTCTACCAATACAAACTGCGATGGGTGTTTGTGAAAGATGTTTATTCAAAGTGAAAACACAGCAGGAACGATGCCACGGGAGGCCTTGGCTGCCCTGACCATTGCTACATGCTGCTGTTCAAACTGCATCTGATGTCTTTTCTATTGACACTGAAGGAGTTGTCAGGAAATTTTCCTTTACTATTTGAACTGAGCAGTTAGTCTTTTTATGATCTGTTGCCACTCAGTATTCTTTAATTCTCTCTCATTCAGAACCTCAGTGGTTTGCAGTTTATCAAGTCGAGAAGAACCCTCTGTTTGTTTATTTTTTTTTTTGGAGTCCTGCAATTATTGGGTATAGTTCCCTGTGCTAAACAGTAGGACCTCGTTGTTTATCTCTTTTATATATATTGTAATTAGTACCTGCAAGTTCCAGACTCCTAGTTTATCGCTCCCACTCTTTCCCCTCTGGGAACCATAAATTTGTTTTCTATGTCTGTCAGTCTGCTTCTGTTTTGTAAATAATTTCTTTTGTGCCTTTTTTTAGATTTCACAGATAAGTGATATCATATGATATTTGTCTTTCTCTGTCTGACTTACATCACTTAGTATGATAATCTCTAGGTCCATCCTAGAGTTGCTGCAAATGGCATTATTTCATTCTTTTTTATGACTGAGTAATATACCATTGTACATATACATATGCCAGTCATCTGTCGATGGACATTTAGGTTGCTTCCATGTCTTGGCTATTGTAAGTAGTGCTGCTGTGGACATTACGGTGCATGTATCTTTTTGAATTGGAGTTTCCTCCAGATATATGCCCAAGAGTGGGATTGCTGGATCATATGGTAAGTCTATTTTTAGTTTTTTAAGGACTCTCTGTGGTTCTCCATAGAGACTGTACCAAATTACATTCCCACCAGCAGTGTAGGAGGGTTCCCTTTTCTCCACAGCCTCTCCAACATTTATCATTTGGGGATTTTTTAATGAAGGCCATTCTGGCCAGTGAGAGATCATACCTCATTATAGTTTTGATTTGCATTTCTCTGATAAATAGTGATATTGAGCATCTTTAAATGTGCCTCTTGGCCATCTGTATGTCTTCATTGGAGAAATGTCTGTTTAGGTCTTCTGCCTATTTTTTGGTTGGATGGCTTGGTTTTTTGTTACTGAATTGTATGAAATGTTTGTGTATTCTGAAAATTAAGCCCTTGTCAGTCACATCATTTGCAAATATGCAATAAGTTGTCTTTTTGTTTTGTTCATAGTATCCTTCACTGAGTGGACACCATTTTTCAAAGTCATTGATCTTGCAGAGATGCAACATTATACTGAAAAATGGCAAAACACAATATGCCACAGAAGATGAAATTATGTGCTTCAAAAGTTGTTAACTTTATGCCAATACAGATTCCCTCTATTGGCTCATAATGCTGATGTTGAACGTGTTTCCCTGTGAATGGAAACATGGGAAAAAATTAAAAGGACACTCAATGGAAAAAAAAGAACAAAATAAGTTGGATGTGACCCCTGTAAAAACTATATACAATGTGAATAGAACCCAGACTGGCACTGCAGGGAATTTTATAAGCAGATTTTGCAACAAGGAAAAAAAATGTTCAGGAGAACTAAAATATCAATGACACAGTTTTAGGGAAAGAGACCCCCTGTCATTTATTTCAGATCATCCGTGACTGATTTTGGGGTCTGGTAAAATACACAGGTTGGGTTTCCAGGGAGCAGGCTCAGAGAGAGACCAGGGTGAGCGTGCTCACGAGGAGGTGCCCCAGGGGTGGGTCCCTGGGGAGCGGAGGGGGGCAGGTGGGGCAGAGGGACGAGGCGCTGCAATGCAGCCCAATGACCACCTTAGCCAAGGATCTGGGGAGCTCTGGAGCTAGAACAGCCCCGCAGGGTGTCCCCCATTTGGACCAGGATGGCCAGACCCTGGGAAGAGGTCTGACCTCAGACATGGGGCTCTCTGCCCAGTCCCCACTGTGGGACACTTTACATTCATAACTGCCTTGATGCCCCACGACCACCCTGTGACTTAGGTTTATTGTGTCCATTTGACAGAAGGGGAGACTGAGAAGTGAAGTGACTTGCCCAAATTCAGGCTCGTTATAGGTGACGGGGCTAAAATTTGAGTCTAGTTCTGCCCATCGCCCTGCCAGTGGGATGCCCACACACAAGTTGGTAGCCCATTTACATGGAAAACTATTCTCTTGGAAACTGACCCTGATGTCTTCCTTCCTGGAGAGCTTCCAGCCAGAAGTTGCCGGATTTGGGGTGGTCATTTACAGATCTTGAGCTCTATGTATTCGGTGGTGCTGGTGGCCTCCTGGTCCTGAGGCTCCCTTGGCCTCAGTCTGGGGAAACTGAGAGAGGCATAATGGAGCTTCTGTTCTTCCTCCACTGGGTGTGGGTGGCCCATGGTGCTGCCTGGCAGACACTCGTACTGGTGACCCTGAGTGGAAGGGAAAGAGGGGGTCATATTAAGATCACGGGGGCTGGAAGAGAGCAAGGAGGGTCCAAGAGTGAACCTGAAAACTGAACATTGAGCATTCCATCTATTCATTCCAGACACTGGCTGGGCCCTCATTCATTCATTCATTCAACAAATTCTTGAGAGTAATCAAGTTGGTAATCAATTTCCAGTCTCCTGGATTCCTCAGGACAATCTACTCAGGAGACACTATTTCCCCATTTTTCAGGAGGAGAAACTGAAGCTAAGGAAATATCCTCAAATCACACATTCACTCATTGGTAGCGTCATGTATCATGCCCAGGTCTTTCTGACTCCGGTGCCTGCTACCTTATGGAACAGTTTTCCATGCCAGGTGCTGGATATGCAGTGGGGAACAAGGAAGGCATCATCCCTGACCTCCTGCAGCTTACAGTGTGGGAAGCAGATGTTAAAGTAATAGTCAATTATATTACTATCTAATTGCAAATTGTGATAGGATAGGAGTGGAATGGATGGTGTGAGAAAGACAGGGATTTCCTCAGACCTGGACTGCTCTCAGGGACCACTCAGCATTTCAAAGATTCAGGCAAACACAATCATCAAATTTCATTATGAACCTTAAAATCAAATACTCTTGTGCCAGAAAGGGTTAACTTTGCCCACGGAAGAGTTTGATCCCTTGTCCCCAGCACCTGGGAGGGAACCTCTAAGCCCTTGAAATGTCCTGCCTGACAAGAGTGTCTTTGTTTACCTACACCTTGGCCCACACCAGAGGGTCTATGTAACAATGTGATAGATGGTCAGGGGCCTTGGGTCACACAGTTTCAGCTTGACCTCTGCAGGAGCTGGAGACTAAATTCAGCCACATGAGCAGAAAGCCATGCCAACGTGACCAACTCCCATAAAAACTCTGGACATGAAGTCTCGGTGTGCTTCCCTGTCTGGCGAGACCCCCTGCATGATAGCACACATCGTTGCTGGGAGATTTGACTGCACAACTCCCCTGGGAGAGACAGCTAGACACTCAAGTCTGGTCTCTCCTGGACTCTGCCCCACGGGCCTTTTTCCTTAGCTGATTTTAATCTCTATTCTTGTCCAGTACTAAACAATAACCATGAGTATAAAAGCTTTCAGTGAGTTCTGTGAGTCCTCCCAGTGAGTTATTGAACCTGAGAGTGTCTTGGGAGCCCCTGAACTTGGTAGTAGACAATAATTATTTGGGAGAGATCCCTGCAGCATCTGTCCTGGGGAGGAGAGGTAGGAAGTGGGGGAGAAAGTGGGTCAGGGGTCCAGAGAGAGAGGGGGATGGAGGCATAGGGAGGGGCCAGTTGGAACTGAACGCAGACGGTAAAATGGACTGGCTGTGGTGGTCCTTATCTCTGCAGAAGGAGACAGAGAGCAGAGGGGAAGGTGCCTCCCGTGTCACTGGGCTGGGTGACAGTATGAATAGGACCCAAGAGCAAAAGCCTGTCTGGGGTGTGAAGATCGTCAAAGTCCTGGGGAAGAGTGTGACCATGGCCATCCCAGGGAGGTAGGCAGATTGGGTCCCCAGGGACAGAGGGCTCATCACTCACCTGGGAGGTGGAGGGGGCGTTCACTTCAGCTGCCACTCCAGGGGCCTCCTTCCTGAAGGTCTTCACCCTGAGACGGGAGACCAGGACCTTTCAGCAGCCTGGCTGGCTCAGAGCATGCCGTGGGATCACTGTTTCCCCTGCTTAAGAGGCCGGAAGGGCTGACCAAGGCCAGGAGGTGGGGGACATGCCTCACATCACAACTTTCATCAAGAGAGCCAGCGCCCTTCACGGACGGCTGGGTTGGAGGGGTGGGGACGGACCCTGCTCTGATTCTCTGACCCAAGGCTCAGTGCTCAAGACCTCTGATTCCTCCAGCTGGGGCTGCCTGGATTCCAGGGCTTGGACCTCTTCCCGCCCCCTGCACTTGCCCTCCCTCCCGGGGACGACACTCACATGAAGAGGATGAAGCAAGAACAGAGACTGAGCAGGCCAGCGATACCAGCTCCCTCGACGGCCCCCAAAACGAATCCTCCCCAAAGCTGGGGCTTTCCTGCAGACCAGTGGGGTTTAGGGTCTCCCCTCCAAGCCCCAGGACTCCCATGCCCCCTCCTCCTACAGAATTTGAGCTCTCATATTCTTGGGCCCCTAAGCCGCCAAAGAACAGGACTCTGCCCCTCCCCCACCACCTCTCACTCCCTCCCATCCAGGCCCCTTTCCTCCCAAGCGTCATCTTCTCCAGGATGGAGATGGCTTTGCCCCCAAGCCTCTGCCCCCAACCAGCCCCCTGACCTGGCAGCAGCAGGACCGTGGCGCTCTGGGCCCCATGGACGTTCAGGGCTTCGCAGCTGAGGCTGAGGCCGGAGCTGAGCCCCTCACTGAGGCTCAGGGAGCTGTTGGCCCAGGCCCCAGCCAACCTAGAGGTGATCTTGAAGGAGGCATTGCTGAAGGTCCCCTCCAGCAGCCCCTCCCCCAGCCGCCAGCGCAGGGAGGGGGCCGGCTGGGCTCGGGAGGAGCAGCTGCAGTGCAGACCCTGGTCCTCCCAGGAGCAGGAGGGTCCCAGCAGCTGCGGGGGGTCTGTGGGGAGGAGGGAGAAAGGTCAGCGTGCCTCTCCCCTCCATGGACCCGAGTGTCCTCCCCCGGGGTGTCTTCCCTCCTCCCAGCTCACTCTGCACAGAGAGATGCAGGGAGATGCCCAGGGAACCCCGAGGGTGCTGAGCTCGGCAGGTGAATTTGCCTTCATGGTCCGAATCCACACGGGGCAGGAGCAGGATCCCCGGGTTTGAGGGCTGCGAGGGGCTCAGGGTCCGACTCCCATGGGCCCAGCTCAATGTGGCTGGGGGGTTGCTGTCAGCGACACAGACGAGGCGCAGAGACTCCCCTTCCAGGACAGAAAGAGATGAGCCGTTCCCCAGGTATTTCAGTTCTGGAAAGAGGAGAGAGAGACAGAGACAGAGACAGAGACAGAGAGACAATAGAAAGAAAAAAAACCCGTGAAGTTCAGTGTAGTGACATTCTC